AGGTTGTATTTTCTCCAATGTATGTTTTGGGCACCTGTGTCAAGAACCAGATGACTGGGTTGGGGTCATGGCTCAGTGGTAGAGCACTTGCGTAGCATGTGTGAGGCACAGGGTTCAATTCTTAGCACCACATATAAATAAAGCTCCATTGGCAACTAAAACAAAAATATTAAAAAAAAAAAAAAAAGGAATCAGAAGACTGTAGATGTGTGGGTTTGTCCTGGGTCTTCTATTCTGTTCCATTGGTTTTTGTCAGTCATTATGCCATGCAGTTTTTGTTATTATAGCTCTGTAATATAATTTGAAGTTAGATATTGTGATGCTTCCAGCATTGTTTTTGTTTGGGGAGGGACATCCTGTCTAGAATTTCATTGGCTATTGCGGGTTTTTTATTCTTCCAAATAAATTTTAGGACTGTTTTTTTCTAGTCTGTAAAGAATATCAATGGTAATTTGATGGGAATTGCATGGAATCTGCAAATTGCTTTTGTATCCACTTTAACAATATCAGTTTTGCCTATTCATGAACATGGAAGGTGTTTCCATCTTCTGAGAATATCTTCAATTTCTTCAATATTCTACAGTTTTCATTGTAGAGGTCTTTCACCTTGTTAGTTAGATTTACTTCTAGGTATTTTATTGTATTTTTCAATGCTATTGTAATGGAATTGCTTTTCTGATTTTTTTCTCAGTAGATTCATTATTAGTATATAGGAAAGCTATTGATTTTTCTACGTTGATTTTGTAACCTGCTATTTTGCTGAATTTATTTCTTAGCTCTAGCAGTGTTTTGGTGGAATTTTTTGGATGTTTTAAGTATAGGCTCATACCATTTTCAAACAGTGATAATTTGACTTCTACCTTTCCTATTTTAAATCCCCTTTATTTCTCTCTTTGCCTAATTACTCTAACTATAAATTCTAGCACTATCTTAAATAGAAGTGGTGTGAGGACATCCTGTCTTATTACAGATTTTTCAAGGAAATGCTTTCAGTTTTCCCCCCATTTACAATGAAGCTGGCTCTGGGTTTTTCACATATAACCTTTATGACTTTGAGGTATGTTTCTTCTATCCCTAGTTTCTTTAGTATTTTTATCATGAATTCATACTGAATTTTGTCAAAGGCCTTCTCTGCATCTATTGAGATGACTAAGTTATCTTTGTTATTAATTTTATTTATGTGATGAATTACATTTATTTAATTTTTTTTAATCTTATTTTTTTTGGTGGGGTTTTTTTTTTTTTTTTTTTTTTTTTTTTTTTGTCTTTTTTGGAACTGGGGGTCGAACCCAGGGCTTTGCGAATGCAAGGCAGACGCTTTGCCACTGAGCTACATCCCAGCCCGAATTACATTTATTGATTTGCATATATGAAACCCAGTCTTGCATCTCTAGAATAAAACCAACTCAGTCATGGTGTATAATCTGAATATGTTGTTGAACATGATTTGCTAATATTAAGTATTTTTGTATCTAAGTTCATCAGGAATATTAATCTATAGTCTTCTTTCCTGGACACGTCCTTAGCTAGTTTTGGTATGTGGTACTGGCTTGACAGAATGAATCTGGAAGTGTCCCATCCCATTTAAAAGCATATTTTATCATATCTTTCATATTCATACCTTGGATAACTCTTCTAGTTGAAGAATAAAATGTGAATTCCTATGCATAGCACAATTTGGCTCCAATCTATCTTTGCAGACCCAGTTTTCCCTAAGCATCCATTCCACCATTTCCAGCTAAACAAACCATTACCTAGCCATGTCAAGTTATTAAAACACACACACACACACACACACACACACAATATACATTAAAGTATGGTAACAAAAAATTTTATTTAGGGTGAATACAAAGGATACAGATCACTGCAGTAAGACAGATCAAACAACTGAACTCCATAGACAAGTAGGAAGTGGAGGGAAAAGAAAGACTCAATTATGGCTCCAAGTTTCCCTAAACAATTGAGTCAATGTGGTATGAAGCGCTGGGATTACGAAGATCTGAGGTGTAGTAGAGGAAGTTGAGGTAGAAGGCAGGTTTTGGGGCTAGAGAATCAAGAGGTCTATTTGGATATGTAGTTTGAAAAAACCTTTTAACTCTTCTCTCTCTCTTTATTGCTGTGATACTCTGATGGTCTGTGATTTCATTGTTTATATCACAGTGACTTAGTTTGTTGCCTACTGATTTTTTTCCTCAACCCAATCAAAAGCTTCTTGAATGCAGAGATTGTAATATTTATTACATATCTTTGACAGAGGACATAAAACAAAGTAGATACTTAAAATGACTTTATAATGAATAAGGCAGTATTCTAGAAATTGAGGAAAATAAACCAACGAGGAAAGAAATGCTTAGTTTTCTAACAGTCCTCATTACCTAGACCTTACCTTGAATTAATAAGGTCAATATATGTTTGGCTGAACATAAAAGCCCACATCACAGTTGAGACATCCAGCAAGTAAACTCACCTATATGTAATTTATATATAAAAAAGATCCAACCCTGTTCATATATCTCTTCACATAATTGTAAGCAGGATCATGTATATTAGCTCTGTGTGAACAGATTTTCCCTATACTTTATAAAGACAAACATTGTATGACCTACATATTTCAGATAGGTTTTCATTTGAGATTTTAAAACACTATATCCATATTATTTGTTCTGTAGTCCTGTATTTTGGATTCTAATAGATTTGTAAAATCAAGAACACTTATTTAAAAACTTATTTGAACACTGAATAAAATCACATAATTTTAAAGAAAGAAATCTAATCCAAAGTCTTCACTTGTAGGGGACAAGAAAACTGAAACCTGTAAAATACTGCTCAAGATTCTACAGTCATTTAGAAATAGGGCCAGGTCTAGAAACTAGTCTACCTAGTTCCCTACACAGAATATCTTCCACAGAGACTGGCTTTTTAATGAATAAAATGGAGAACTTGGCCATTTTGCAATCGATCATTCTGCTTTTATCATTTTTCCATATAGACCACATATTCTTCTTTTATCACTTTTCCATCTTAATAAACTTTCTAGGAAGGATATGCCTTATAGTGAGGTTAGCAACTGATTTTGTTATGGCCATGTAACCATGCATTGCATGGCTAAATGAGAATACCTCTGAGATAGTGCATATGTGGAGAGACATCCAGGATGTAGATATCCCATTTGTGGCCTGCACGGCCATGGGATCTAAAGGGAAATTGAGCCACTTCTATGTATGTGAAGTTTGCAAGGCTTGCCCTTATCATATCCAGCTGTTCCTCTGTTCTTCATCTCTATTCTTTATCTGTTTTAGTGATAATCCCTCTTAACATTTCAAAGGCTTTCCTATCTATCCTTCTGCTCTTCCTCTTCACAAAAACTAAAAGCACTTTATATTCATTATCTACACAATGTTGGCTGACAAGACAGAAGACACTATTTAAATAAATTTTAAACAATATGTTAACATTTATCTTTATTTAACAACTGACATTTATCTTCTAAGCCTTTAATCCAGAAATGTGGACTGAAAGGTTTGTTCCCAGAAATTCTGACCTAAGCACAAAGATGGAAAGCTCCCTCCTAAGTCATTAAAAGGACAAGTTATAAAGGAAAACCATCTATGTATTTAGGGTACAAAGACTAAGTCTAAAGGAGCATATAGTATATGCTGCACCTGCCAATGTAAATATCAATGATCAGCACTATTGCTTTAACTTCTGTTAGATATCTGAAACAAGACAAATTGAAATTTTTGAGGTTTGAGATAATGGTTAATTACTATAATGATCTGAATTTAGAAGTCAAAGTTTTTTCAAACCTAGCTTACACATATTCACCATGTTTACAATGTCAACATTTATACTTATGTTTACGTAAGTGTTTTCAGATATGTCATCTGAACACCATTATCAGTTTTCAAATGAAGAGTCTTGGGTTCACAGATATAATAAAAGACAACCAGCACTACTGTAAGCCTTCTGAATTCAAATATTTTTTCATTATTGTATATAACTTATACAGCAAACTTAAAATAATTTGTACATGTAAATTCCAAAATACTTTCAAGGTTGAAAATGACAGTATCTCTGAACTTCTAAGAAAATTATGCTGATCTTTTCAAACTCAAATTTCTTTTTAATGTTTTTGTTAAAAAGTAATTGTTTTGTAATTTTCAGTTATCTCACATTTCTTAAAGAATTCAGTAATAGGAAAATTACTGTTAGAAATATATAGCTAACAGGCCTGGGGCTGTGGCTCAGCAGTAGAGTGCTTGCCTAGCATGTGCAAGGCCCTGGGTTCGATCCTCAGCACCACATACAAATCAATAAACAAAATAAAGGTATTATGTACAACTAGAAATAAATAAATATTAAAAAAGAAATATATAGTTAACAAAGAGAAAAAGTCATTTTTCAATGCAAAATAAACTTTTCTCACTTATAAGTTTTTCTTTGATATCCTCTGAAAACCTTATTTAAATTTGAATATTAGCCTAAAAATTTACAATTGAATAGTTCATATCAACTCAGTAATTCATGTAGATTTCTGAAACAAGCTTTTTTGCATATTTTATTAATTTGCCAACTTTTAGGGGATGTGATCTCTCTGTAGGTTGCATCCTATTTCTTCCAAAGTACATTCATTCTATCTTGACTTTACTTAAGATGAAAAATAGAATTAGTTGTAAACCATGGTTTCTTTACACAGCTGGGACACTGAATTAAATTTAGAATTATACATGTTTAAAACTCATATTTCTTCACCTTTAAGTTATTATCTGTTTAACAGAATACAGGTTCAGAATAGCTACTGTTCAAGTTAACAAATCTAAATTTCTTTGAAATAATTTCTGTGATTTCAAGGAAAAAAAGATGACTGAATAGAATTTATCAACTGTGAAACTGACCATTAAAATGCTATTTTGTTTCTGGAAGAGAAATATGTAAATTCATTTTAAAAATAACATCTGAACACTTAAAATAATAGTCAAAGTAAGAAAGGGGCTCACCGGTTTGAGTGAAACCAAACTGATGTAGAATCTCATGAGCGGACAGCATGTTTGACTGTTTTAACTTAGACTGTTGTGAGGAGGCTGGTGGTGGTGAAGTAAATGAGAGATTTTTGTTGACCTGCAATAGAAAATGCAAATCAGAAACTACAGCATGATTTTCTGGGTTACTTATGCAAAAACTGGATGTGAAATATTTGCTTACTAGCCAAATCAAAACATATGATGGGTTAAAAGAAGTGGTAATGATTTATATAATTAGTTTTTAAAGTTTACAAAACAAAAAACAAAATAGTTTTTATCAAGAAAGGTATACAGTGATGATGAAAGTTAACTATATTAAAGTAAATAAATCTTTAATAAGTTTGCTTATTATGAAATTAACATCATTAATAAAACAGAGTAGTCTTAATCCATGCAAAAAGTACAATGACTCTTTAAATGCTTTTAATTAAGAGTGTAAAATGTTTCATATCCACATTTCTTTAGCATTTTAGTGAAATAGCAGGTACTTCCTTTTTATAGACTGTAGAGAAAACACCTGTAAGACTAGCATTTATATAAATCAGGGTGACAGAGATAACACAGCTGTAACTTAACTTGTGAAACAGTTATTCTGTGAAACAGTTATTCTGTTTAAAAACAGCATGACTTTAGAAATAATATTAAGCAAAATTTCTGTAAATGTAAGGTTTTACACAACATGTAAAACTTATTATGATTGTCAGTACAACAATCTCACAGGAATGAAACATGTATTTTGGCTATGTAAAAAATAATCGTTCACTAAAAAAGTTTGAAGTGTTTATGAAGACATTTATATTGTAAACTAGAATGAATTTCAGGAAAAAAGCAAGTCCTTAGTTCATTATTAATAAGTCAGCAATTTTTAAAAATTATTACTATGAATCATGATAAAATGTGATGTATTTTTTTAAAAATTGGAACAATATAATATTTTAGTTCACTGCACAGATGTAATTGGTGAATTAAGAAAGCTAAAATTATAAATTATGACATAAATATTAATATATAAAAATAGTTCCTTTTCTTTTTATTTATTTACTTACTTTGGTTTAAATATTAAAAACCACAGAGTGGACTTCTGCATCAGTATTTGGGGCTTTAAATAAGATAGTTCTGGGTTGGGGTTATAAGCAATTTATCTGACTCATTATTTGCATATTTGTAAATGCTTCCTTTCTTTCAAATAGTAATGCTATATCTTAGATTAACTTTTTCTCTTGGAGCAAAGAATTTTAGCAGATTCAGTAAAAAATCAATTAAGAACATGTACTAACACAATTCTAAAGTACCTAAATGGTTATGATGACATTTAATAAAACACAAAAAACTATTTTTCAAAGTAGTCAAAAGCGGTCAAATATCACCTCAGTGCTAAAATACTGTCCAGCTTTAAAAATTCTCAGACTCCATTATCAAACACTGACCAAAATTAAGTTGATTATTTATATTAATTGTATCTAAAATAAAAACAAAACCAATATCTTTGAGCTTCCTTATCCATTTTTAAATGGAGATTATAAAAATAATATCTATGAGTTAATGGGGATGTGCCAATACATATGAACATCTGGTATTATAAAGTGATATTTACATGTTAACCATAAAACACTAAGTAACATTAAGTAAGAAACAGGTTAAATAGTACTGAAGGTATGGCTCAGTGGTAGAGTGCTTGCCTAGCATGCACAAAGCTCTGGGTTTGATCTGAAGAAATGTAAAAAACAAAAACAAACAAACAAAAAAAACCTAAACCAAAACCCCCCCCAAACTTTAAGTACAATATAAAGTGCTATATAAATTTAATTATTATTATTAACATCATCTAAAAGTAAGAGAATTAGGATATTTAATGTAATATGGTGATGCAATAAATCAGAATCTATAATTTTAAATGTAAGTACTATATACAAAAGGACACATTTATCACTTAACTATATATTCATTCCTTTTGTCAGTTTCTTGAAAATGATTTTCCTACATGCCAAACAATGTATTTTAAGATCTGTTGTAAATTAACAGGTGTATGCTGGAGATATGAATCTATGTTTGTATCTCTGTATGGTCATGGATACACACAAACACACACACACACAGTACCTACAATGACTTTTATAGTTGTCCTCTTTAGAAATCTATGTGCACAATTTATGTGCACTGAAACAAAACAAAACAAAAACACCAGCAAAGCTTGAAGAGTGTACTGAATGCCTCTGCTCAAACAGAAAAACTTATCACTCTTTTTAAATAAAATGTTGTTTGGAAAGATAATTATAATTACATATTCTTGTGGAGTTTTTTTTTTATATAATTCTGTTATTTCTTGACACCTTTCTTTGGAGGCTATTCAAATTTCCATTAAGTGATGTATAGTAACACAACAGAGCAGATAAGGCAATTTTCAAGGTTTGCAAAAACTGTTATTATTGTTAGTATTAGTCAATTGAAATTAGCACTCAAAGTGTTTTCAAAGCTAGCTTCCATATATTTATCACTTCATTTAGAGGAAGAAAAATAATAATAACCATTAGATAGAGTGAAGCAACATCTATTTTTGAAATATATGCTGTGGAAAAGAATTGCTTAATAATTTTACAACAACAGAAAGGTTGGCTAAGATAGTCTACCCTATACCGATCTACCCTCTTTTCACAACACATTTTCTGCTTGCTTCACGCAAAAACCACAGTCTGCCAAAGTCAGTTTAGTACCTCCATATTGAAGAACACTTAAAGCATAAAACTTGAATGAAATTCATGGTAGGTAAAAAGAAAAAAATCACCTAGAACTTCTGCCAAGTTAATTACAAAACTGTTTTGCCTACTCTTTTAGAGCATATGCAGCTTTATGCAAAATATGCAAACATTAATTCTCTAGAAATGGGTTCATTTTAATGTTAAGAACCTCACTGTCCCAAACATAAAACTGAATGCAAAAGACTAAATAAGCTAAGGAAAGTTTCTCTTTTAATCATTAGTTAAAATTGAAAACTTTTGGGAGAGATATAACACTCATTTCCATATATACATACAAGTCTAATCATTTTAGCTAACTTTAGATTGTATGATACTTTCACCACAAATAGAATTTTTCATAATTTTTAAGCTTTGAAGACTCCTCAAATTGGTTTTAAGTTATATCTGAATATTCTGATGCTGTTTATATGCTGCATTCACAAGTTCAACTCTTTGCCCATAGAGCTGTCAAATTTTTCCACCAAATCTATACAATAATGCAGGTTAATATTTTAATCTGAAGACAGTTCTGGAGGCAAAAATAACCCAATAATATTCAGGAAATGTTTACTGCAAATTATTTTTGCAAATTATCTGTTATAAAAATTAAAATCCCAGTTTTGAAAAAGAAGTTAAACAGAAAGCTTGAAGTAAAGTAATATTCAAAGTATTTGTAGTATTTTTTTTTTTTTACATTCTCAGAATACAAATTCTAACAGCAGCTTATGTTGCTATGATTTCTAGGTTAGTAAAGCCAATAAATGAGTAGGCCATAGTATCTTAAGAAACATGATCTCAAGGCCTTCAGATATTTTCTTTATAAATTGGGACAGAGAAGTGAGAAGAGAAGTGAGAAGAGAAGTGAGCGACTGGGAAGGAACTATTAGAGACTTTTTTTTTTTGGTACCAGGGATTGAACTCAGGGACACTTTACCATTAAGCCACATCTCTACTCCCTTTTTATATTTTATTTAGAGATGGGGTCTCACTGAGTGACTTAGGGCCTTGCAAAATTACTGAGGCTGGCTTTGAACTTGAGATCCTCCTGCCTCAGCCTCCAGAGCTGCTGGGATTACAGGCGTGCTCCATGGCACCCTAGAGAGTTTTTTCAATGGTAAGGTACCAAAAAATATTACCTCTAAACTAGTTCATTATGACTAATATTAACTAAAATCAGAAGTCAAATTTGAAGCAGTCATTATGAAGTTTTATTTTGTAATATTTAATCAGATTTTGGGGGGCCTCTGATAGCTACCATGGTGTTGGTGTTTCAAAGATTACTGATATGATTCCTCCAAGTACACTTTAAAATAGACCTTGGTTTCCTTCAAGACTTTCACTACTTTCCCGTTTAGTCTACTGCCCAGCTTTGCAAGGAAAATGTGACTTTGAACCTCCTGAAATCCTCACTTTCAAACCTATGACCGAATACACCTCCTCTACCTACCCTCATCTCTTCTTTTACTGTCAGAGGAAGAAGTGCATCTGTTTAAGATTAATACCTTCACTGGTGTCCTTGGGGATGTCCCTAAAGCTCTTTCAAATTCTACTCTCAACTTCTCCACTGGCTCTTTTGTCACAAGCTAGAATAGATCCTTCTACTTTAGAACAAAAATTAACAGCAAACAAAAACTCCCTATAATTCTATTTCCCTCAAGTTTCATTAGAAGGTAAATTCCTTGCAAAACAGCACACAGTTGCTATCCAGGTACCTCAATCTTTCATTCTTAAAACAGCTACAACAAAGCTTGTCTTTACTGTTAACACTAAATGTGAAGTGAAGGTCACTCTGTACTTTCAATCACGAAATTCAGGAGATTCACACAGGCCTTTGACACTGTCCACAACTCTCCTCTCTTCATTTTTAATCCTGTTTATCTTGTCATACCCATACATTCCTCATTAGTGTATTTGCTAGATCCACTTTAGCCCTCTTCTACCCTCACATTATATCATATTGTTACTCTGGGCAGGAACATTTATTTTATTACTTTATATGCTTTCTAACGCTGTTTCTTATATTGAAAACATGCCTCTTGGTCATTAAGCTCAAAGCTAACCCAATCTTTCTGTACAATTTATTTTCTCAGGAAAAGCTACTACTCTCTGCCTAAGTGCCCAGGATAGAAAGCTGGACTCTCCCTTAACTGCTCCTCACAAGCCACAAAGACCACATATAGAATAAAGCCAGCATTCTACATATTGTTAGAACAAGAGAACTCAACTTGCTCATATCCAGTTTTGGAATGCCAGTAAGAAATAATTATATTTTTTAAAAAAATTATTTAAAAACCCTTTCAAAAGAACCCTTTTCCAAACAACTGAAAACCATTATTCTACTCAAATCTCAACTTGATTTTGT